TGATAAGTTCTTAGGCACACTGGATATACTTGGCTGGAAGCAGACCGTCACAACCCCTACAAGAGGTAATAACGTACTAGACTTAATCTTCTGCCACAATATAAGTCCCCTTTCTACCCTAGTAGGTTCTGAGTTTTCAGGGAGTGACCACAAAACAGTGCTGTGTGCACTGCCACTTCCGTCAAGTAGCAATGCAACCCATACCCCTACTTCACAACAAATAACTTACAGGAACTACAGTAAGGCAGACTGGACTCTAGTAAAATCAATGCTAAGATCCTCAGAATGGAGTGAGTACTTCTATACTGATAGCCTCTCGAAAGCTCTAGACATCTTTTACTATAACTCCAACACATGCTTAGATGCTGTCATCCCATTTCAAACACTAAAGTTTTCCCCACATAGAAAGACATTCATAAAGCCAAAGGATCGTAGGAAACTGAAAAGACTGTCAACAAGTTACTTCAGGCGACACGACTTTAGTACACTAGGGTCAATACTTAGTACTCTTAGCTCCATCTCGCAAGCTCATAACTTGCGTATGAGAAATGAAGAATGCACCGCACTATCCAGCACCACTAGAGTAGGTGCTCTCACAGAAATACTAAAGAAACGAATGAATCGCCAAAGCCATAAAATTTCTCTCCTTATAAACAAGGGCAAACTATACAGCAAACATGCAGACATGTGTGAACTGTTTAATGAGACGTTTGCAGCTAACTACCTTAAGCCTACAAGTCCACTTCTCGGTTTACAATCTAAAATAGAACTCCCTTCATCTTCAACGCTGAAACAAATCACTACAGTTCATTTCACTTACTCTAATATTAACCAAGCCGTTAATACTCTTAAAAGCTCTAGTAGTGCCGGTTTTGACGGTATACCATCGTATCTTTATAAACACGGTGGTTCTGACATTTCCGTTTTATTACTTAAGATTTTTACAATGTCCCTAGAAAGCCAAACCTATCCAGATAAATGGAAAACGACATTTATAGTACCTAAACACAAATCCGGATCAAAAACTGAAGTCAACAACTATAGGCCAATCAATATTACACCCATAGTATCTAGAATCATTGAACGAATAGTTAAAGATGATATCCTCAAACATATGCTCAGCTGCAATATTCTAAGTCCCAACCAACGTGGATTCCTAAAATCCAGATCATGCATGACATGTCACCTTGACTTCTTTAACTATATAACTAGCAGCCGAGACAAACAACAACTAGTACTAGTCATCTACTTCGACATATCCAAAGCCTTTGACCGCGTTGACCATCTGCTTCTAATAAATAAGCTGAACTCTTTAGGAATAAGTAACCCATTATTAGGATGGATTGAATCATTCCTTAACAATAGGTCCCAAGTAGTTAGACTGGGTTCTGTAAACTCTAAACCTAGTCCAGTCACTTCTGGAGTAGTTCAAGGTAGCGTCTTAGGCCCCCTCCTATTCACTCTATATGTCAACGACATATACAGCTGTTTCTCACTTGGCAAACCATTTATCTTCGCAGATGATCTTAAAGTAGCTTACACATTCCACTGTGATGACTTAGGATACTTTCAGAAAGCTGTTCAGGAAGAACTAGATCGAGTAACTGCATGGTCCTCCACATGGAACCTAAAATTCAACCTTAACAAATGTGGTTGGATCTGTTTCGGTGCACCCTCAATAAACATTAAACTGGTACTTGAATCTCTTGACTTGCCTAAACTCCAAAGTGTTGTTGACCTAGGACTCAGGTACTCTAGTGACTTGACATTTTCTGAGCAAGTGGCGACACAGACGCGTAAATCGAGGATGCTCCTAGGATGCATACTCAGGAATTTCCACAACTACGAGGCGAAGCTATTATTATATAAAACTTGTGTCAGACCACTACTTGAATATTGTCCATTTATTCTCAGCAGCACTCGCGTAAGTGACAAACTTAAAATAGAAAGTGTCCAACGATACTTCACGTCTAAACTACTAGGATTTGACTGCGAAAAGGACTACACATCAAGGTGTATAACTCTAGGTATCGACCCACTCTGGATGAGACGACTGAGCATTAACCTAACATTCTTCTTTAAAATCTTGCATAAAATATCATTCTCAGACAGCAAGGAGATACAGTTATCACCGGAAGGCTCTTACAACCTTCGTAACCAAACGTGCACAGTATCTAGGAAAAACTGTAAAACAGCACTCCGTGCAAACTTCTTCATAGTCATGTACTCTAAGATCTGGAACAGTTTACCCCTAGAAATAAGGACCTGTCACTCTATTATAACCTTCAAACGCTTGCTATATAAACTGTTTCATCCCAATGACTATGCCAATCACACCGCACCACTTATTTCTAAAACGCATGAGCTATTAGAACACTATAACGCCTAGACTCATTACTAAATATTACGACACTAAATAAACTCTAAGACTTCGCAAAATTACATGAAAAACAACTAGATTATGGGTAGTGTTTACTATACAATGATATACATTTATATATACATAAAATATTAATGTTTTCTTCATTTTTACATACTTTATCTCCCTGCTGAGCGTAAACTTCTATATACCTCCTGGTTGAGGTCGAACAACCCAACATCCAAACTGAAATGACCATTTATGTAAATTCAAACTCAAATTCCATGAACGATCCGATGCAACCAATTGAAAACGCTGGCTAACATTCTGTACAAGGAGTATTCTTGATCTGAAATAAAGAAGCAACTGGTTTTCAAACAGTTATCAATGTATTACTCAACTTACATGTACAGTCTGCCATGCTGACGCAAATGGCGCAAATGGATAGTTCTAGAATTGACCCCATTTGATGCAGTAAAACAATCTAACATTACCTTATCTAATTTTCGTATCAAAGATCAAATTTCTTTCCTATTATAAAACTACGACACGACTGCTGACAAAAATGGAATAAATACATTATTGACTCAAAATAATACATCAATAAACTTTATCTCACGGATGCTGTTCACAACAAAGTTTTATAGGAGAATTGACTTCAAGCTTTATTTTTCCCAGATATTTGTATCACATTCATCTGAAGTCTGGGTTTTTTGTTAATGCGAAGACAATATTTCTATATCTCTTTATGTGTTACACAGACAGACTATTTTGCAGACTGTTCTGACTGACTCTAATGTTAGATTGAACAAACAAACTGTAATTTATATAATAACTTATCCATGCCTGTACAATTGGTATGTTCCTGCATAAACAGGAATAAATATATATATTATTATTAATGATGCTCCAGCTAGTAAAGGGGGAATATGGTTGTAACCTTACTCCAAGGGTGCATTTCCACAAATTGTATTAAAATGGCATAGAGACACACAGTAACACCATAGCACAACAACCACAGTATTTTCTCTTAAAGATCCAACTGTTTGTAATCTGATTTGATCCGCACACTTCAAAAACTGACTGGTGAAGTCAAAATAGCTGAAACTCAGTTGATATGAAGAACTTCTTAGATTCCCAGCAGTAGAAACGTCGCGAAATTACCTGCTTGAGGTAACTTGCCAACCTTTAGCTCGCAAAATGGAGAAGTTTGTGCATGGAGCTGAAGCCCCGGAAAATAAGCGTAATTGTTACAGAAACCTTAATGCATACAAAAATATCACAAATAAATTTATTTTTCTTTGGAAATGGAGAAAAAAGTGAAGTAGACCGGTAGAAGTTTAGAGGAAGTCAGTCAGCTGATATGTCTTCTTCTGAAGAAAGTGAAAGTAAGGTTGAGGACGTGGAATTTCCGCAAGACGTTCGAAGCTGGGTAGTTTCCTCAGATTGCAAATGAAATGAGAGGTATGGCAAATTAAGTACCCTGTATTGTGACGGCAGATGGAATGAAGACTGATTCTCCAGACTGTCAGTTGGACAGGCAATATTCTGCTCCTTTTTCCCAGATGACAACCACAAGCACCTTGAGGCAGTGGCTATTATTGCGTTAATGATAGCAAAGGAAGCTCTGATGCTGTAGGAACCAGTCTCCCCAAGAATCATGACAGCAAGATTCTGCTCAGTTTTCCTATGCTACGCACACAGAAACAACGCAGATCGAATAAAAATAACAGCTGCAAACAGTAATGGATGAGAACTTAAATACGACGTCAAAATTCCAACAGCTGATATGAATTTTGGCCGAAAGAGGGTCGCAATACACGAAGAAATAACTCAAAACTCGACGAAATGACTGAGAATGATGAAATATTAACAAATCTTTGCCCACTTAGTAATTTGTTTATCGAAAGTAGCCTTTACAAGCACAAGTATACAAACGAAGCGACATGGATCACTAGACGGACATGACTAAAATCAGAAAGACCGACAAGAAGATTCTGGTAGATTTGTGCTTCCAGAAGATTAATATCTAATATCACACAGTTGTTACTTTTACTTTTTGGCGTGATCATTAATCTTGATAGACCGTAGCTATGGTCGAAGTACTTTGTGACTATTTAGCCTGGCCCATCTAAACTTCTTGCGAGACTGCCATTAATGCCTCCCTGGTGACATAATTTGAAGTACTTGACATAAAAGCTATAAACGCGCAGTATACCGCATGATACGGACAGGCTCAAAGCAATGCAGTACTGCAACTGCAGTTATCTCAAAACATCTCAGAGCTTAATACCAAATGAGGAGGTAGGGTAGCGCATGCTGATCAGCAGATATGGTGGTGGTCACAAATTTGAATCGTCTCAGTCGCTTCACCCGTCCAGGAAGCATCTTATTTCCCATCTGATTGTATTTGATCAATAACACTCATATTATTATTTCTGAATGTACATTATCCTATACTGATTTTTATTCAAATGTCTAATCAATTTCACTCATGTATATAAATGAGAGAATTGATATGAGCAATAATTTGTGCCCGAAACGTTATCAGTTAATACTGCTGTATAACACTGTGTGATTTATCAAAATAAAATCTCATGTATAATGAAGCAGGAATTTTCATTTGTTTTAGTCGGTGGTAGTGACCTCCATTTTGTCTCTTTGTTCTTATTCCGTACCTGTTTTCTGTTTGTGTTCTGTTATGGTGCTATCGAAGAAGAAGACCAAAGAAGTAGTAAGCATTTCATTTTGAAGTATTTCATGTTTTGTTTTTTCTAAAAGTGGGTGACTTTTCAATGGTATTTTCAAGTGTCTATCGTCTTGAAGTTTACTGCAGATTTTTCATATTTTTGGAATTAAACAGTCGGTCTATATCGTAATTATAATAAAAAAATGTTTTGCGCATTGAGTTACTGTGTTCAGGTGGAGTGACGTGTGCTGTCAATCCTTTTAAGATAGCCTGAAATGTTATTTCTCATGACCCTAACCAACTATACTGCTGAATTAAATCTCGCTAATTCTGAACTAACTCTAACATTCTGTTATGAATAAATTCTGAAGTTATTCTGAAACGGTTTGATTATCCCCACAGACTGGAACTCAGTGCTGGTTTTCAGCATGACTGGCACTAATACAGCACCCTGTGCTTTTCTAGGCATTTTCAGAAGTTGCTCAGAACCAACTTGGCTTGCTAATTACCATTGTTTCAGCCCTCTCAACCCAGATTCAGCACTAATTAGCGTTACTTCAGAACAAAAAGACAATTCAGCACCTGGTGACCGTTTTTCAGCTTTATTTCAGCACTAAAGGTATTTCAGCTGCAAATACTATTTTTAAGAACGACCAACGTTATTTCAGTACATAGTGGATTCATTTTAGGTAGATAAAATATTCATTAACTGTAAAGACGCACTATCGTCGCGTGAATTCGAATTACTTTGGGGTTATTGTATGCTTGGTACAGATTTCTGGTGTTTGCAATTCATTGAGTGAGAAGTAGTCCAAGAAATACGCTTTAATATGGATTGCTCGTAGGTGACCCGATCTTGTTTTATATGGGAACACAGTACGTTTATTTTTGTAGAGTATGTTCAAAGTATTTTCGTTATCCTGATCTAATGTAGTTTTCCAACCTAGCACGTCGAGTGGTCTTTGTGAAGGCGTATTCCGCTGACTTAGGTTATAAAATATGGATTCCATTCAGCAGTCGTAGGGTATATTTTTGTCAGTCTTCCTATGGTTCTCACTTAGTTGTCAGGCTTCATCTTAATTTCCTGCTGAGATCTACATAGTTCTTAGTGGGGATTGTTTGAGGTAGATTCGATTGTTGTTAAGTGCACAGACCTCTTTGAATTGTAGAAAAGAAGTTTCAGAGAGTATATGACTCGGTTCGTGAATGACAGTACTATCGTAAATCATGCGCACTGAATGTAAACAACCACTCATTGGGGTAGTATTATTCCTTGTGTCGCTTTTTGTGTATGTATGGTCTAGGCAGTTCATTGTACTATGTAGAGATAGCTTGTTTCTTTTTTCACTCGGTCATAAACTCGTTAGTAAGCTGACACTATCCCATCGAGTAGTCCATTTCTAACTATGGGTTTCTGGTCAAAATAAGGCTTTAACTGTGTGGGTCTGCGTACTACAGTCGTTTCCTATACAGTAATCACATTGCTTAGTGCATTAACATTCTATTTGCCTAGACGAAAGACATGTTCACTGACTCACAGAATTTCTTCATGACAAGGCTCAGGTTAAGTGCATTAACTACTGTCCTAACCTCCATGCTTCACATACTTGTTGAAGTAGGTGCCAGGTGTGATCTGAACTTATTATAAAGCAAATGTTTCCCTTTACAAATATTATGCGTTTTTCATTTTTTTGCTCCTGGAGTTGAACATAAGACATCAAGCTCTCGAAGTTTCAGTAACATTTTTACTTTTACGCTCTGGGGTTTCTAGCTTAATATTAAGTCTTCTCATGGATTAACTGTGACCTAGTTAACTGGTTTCAGAAGTGCATCGAACCTGGGCCACGTGTGTGGTTGGCGTACATTCGACCAGTGAACTACCGATGTACGCATTCAGCTACTGAGATATATCTTTATTTATTTGTTCATTTCTAGGTATCTCAATCTGCACGTTTTTGCTTATCAAATATCTCCAGATATTTGAGGTTTCTTATCATATAGGTGTTCTGTTAGTGTAATAAGGTCGATTATTTTTGTTTCAGTGTAGAGCCTTACAACAGCCCAAGTTGCCACACCACATAGCTAGGATAGATAAGAAGAGAACTGTTATGGGTAGGGATGTGTCAGAGGAAAAATAGCAAAATGGAGAAACATTAAGCTTTAATGGATTTGAGAGTTAATTATATGCACGTTCTTTTTATAGAGATGAACCAAATTACACAAGTACATATCTACACTAGCTTAACAATATGGCTCAAGGGAAACCAAGTCCCAACCTAGTCGGAAAGAGAAACAAGGCAAATCATTACTCAACCATCATTTGGATTTCCATGCAATGAATCATCTGTTGTTAGGGCTAATTAAAATATCTGACTGTCCACATTTTGGTAGGTGGGTAAGGTTTCTATCACATGACTGGTTAAACTTAGTCCAATGAGCAGTAACTCCACCAGTTTCATCAACACACTCGCTTATTGATGAAAATGTTTGCGTGATAGAAGGCACCCTTTTAGGATGTCGAACTTGACTTCAGAAATCGCATTGCAAACAATACATTTTTCCTTCGGACCTAAATCAGCCTGCGCAACTGTTATACAAAATATAAATTACAGACAGAGTGCATTTGCGCTATATATATATATATATTAGTTGTTTAGCCAGTAGTACTTCCTGAACTGTTTCTTTGGTTTTAAATTTATGAGTAGTCAGCTTTGTGGTGCAGTATTCACGTAAATTCCTGTAAAAATTGGGCAAAGGCCGTACTGTCAGACCCTCTGCACCCTCTTTATTCACAATTATCCCCTTGTATCTCATCAGGTAGAACGAGAAGTCAATATAAGAAATTATATGCTCGTACCACTAAGTACAAAAATTCTACAATACCGTACTTAGCCCGTATTTTATGTGATGAAGACACTGTTAGACGTGAAACATATAAGTTACTATGTAATTAGCATAGTGAATCGACCCTTTCATTGTTCATCTTTCTGTAATTCTATGGTGTCACCCTTTCTATCGTTTAATTATAACTTTGCTATTTTTATTTTAGTTGTTATTACTATTATTACTATAATTTTATATTTTTCTCCTTATCCTCTACTGTAATTGCTACATAGCTCCTATAAAAACGTTTTGGTATCATTATTATGTATTAATTATTCCGTTTATCTACTTTTTTTAGTTTGTTGTTGTCGTTTTTGAGTAAATTAGATGCAATACTGTACTGAATGCTGAAAATTCCTTGCTGTATCATTAATACTGTTTTTGGAATAAAGCAAAAATTATTATTATTTTCATGTTTCTGTTTAGGTAATACGAGGTCGAAGCAAGTCTGTCGGTCGGGATACTCCAAAAAGTCGTTCCCGTACTCCTGCAACTCCACGATCTCGATCGAAAACGCCTACGAGACGACCACGAACACCTGCTTCGGAGTCAAAAGTTCGGAAGAGACGCTCACCTAGCAGCGAGCACAGCGAGGGGTCGAGTAAAGGTTCGACTAAACCAAAAAAGCGTACTGAAATTGTTGTTGACCGTCCTATCCAAACCGTTCTACCAAAACCACTTATTGAATACACTGGATTGTCTCGATTTTCTGAAGGGATCGTTAAAAAGATTGAGCTAGAACAAGCGATTCATTTTCGTAAAGAGGAGTAAGCATTTTTTGTCATAGTTTATGAAAGTTCTAATTAATGACAGTTTGGGTTGGGTGTATTAGTTTGTATAAGAAAAATGACTCTTGTCTAACAAGTATCTCCTTGACACATATCAAACCCATTGGTCTAGTACTGAATCATAGTAATTCAGATGAAAGTCAATTTATAATTCTGAATTGACAGTAACTTGATGTACACTTTCGTCAACTCGCAGCTTCACTTTTCAATCTACGTGTTAGTCAGTCTAAGTGCATCTAATTTCGGCTAGTCGCACTTCTATGAAAAGTTTTGCTAGTCATTTGACCTAGTGGCTAATGTAATGTAGTGCAAAATTAACTTGAAAACTTAAGGCTTGTTATAGAATCTACTCATTCGTGAAATCTGAAATCTCTTAGGTAATGGATTCATCGTTGTTTCTCTCAGATTGCTAAACTCATTTATTCTGATTCTATTCATGTTTCATATCTGTTTATTTTTTACAGGCAAGTTCAAAAACCGGAAACATTTCACTCTCATAAACCACCTTTATCTCCAGTTGTAACGAATTACCGTAAACCTTTCTTTAGTCCAACAGTTGTTGGGATTGCCCAACTGATTTTTGTCGTACCGTTCATTTACTGGTTGAATCTTTTGGTTTTTGCACCACCACATGTGGGAGATAAGTCAGAAATCAAAAGTTTATGGGGACCTGCACATCCGTTGTTTTGGGTGATGTGGCCAACAGATTGGCGCGTTTATTTCAACATTCAAAGTGTAGCATTCGTCTCTACATATTTATTTTTACACTGTCTGATCGCCCGTTTCATTCCATTTGGTCATCTTGCAAACACAAGCTCTCGAAATAACGATTGTCGTTGTAATGGTAAGTGAAACTAATTTCAGTACAGCAACGTAGTTTTTGCAGAATTTAAATATCCATGATGATAGGCATGTTTTTTCCTGGGAATTTCCCATCTATGTTTAGTTGCTAAGTGAAACAACACAGACAGTGGCAAATGCACTACACAAATTAGTATAATAGAGCGATATGTGTATAAGATTAACAGGAAAATGTTGCACGGTTAGTTTCCTTTGATTTCGATTATCAGGGATGAGACGAGTCTCAAGCCACTTCGTTGCATAACCCATGCTGCTGCTAAGCTTCATCGTACAACTTTGCACAGAAGTGCACCAGTTCTAGTTGCCACACTCCAGGTAGTACAAAAAGGTAGGCAAAAGCGAGGGAGAGGAAATTCAAGCGAACTATGATGAGTTGTGTGGGGCAAAGAATAATAACACGGAGAAACATGAGGATTTAGAAGAACACAAGGTGAATACATTTACTCCATTGAAAGTAATTTTGAGTCATATCACCAATAGTCTCCATCATTTGGTTTTTAGAATCCCAAAGACCCCAGCCATATAGCTTCCGACCCCCTATGTCGCTCAAAGACTTCACGGACTAACTCCAGGATGTGGTTTGACCAATTCTTCCAACCTAATCCCATGTCGGTTAGCATTGCCTGTCGAGGAAGGCGATGGTTCGGCATGAGAGACACATGTCCTAGCTATATCAATCTATGCAGTTTCGTAGCCTCATCAGCTGACTTACCTACCTTACCTGACACTACGCCTAATCTCAACATTACTCACTATATTATACCACTCAACACCGGAAATGGAGGTACGATCCATAAGATCTCTTCAAATGTTTTTTCTTTTAGTTAATGCACCTTTCTATCTATCCATAATTTGCATGTGTTCAGCTCATAGGATTATCAGATTTAGCGTTCCCGTACGCGCCTCATCAGTCCACAAACTATAGCATTCTGTAAGCCACTTTAGAAAGACGTTGAATGACAAAATCAAGCAAAAAATAGATCTATTGTATTCGACACTACTGGTTACTAGGGAGCAGGGGTTTTCACTCCAACACCACAATGATTTTTCCTCATAGCAGAACCTTCACAGTCTTACCATAATTTTTAGAAAGATATTTTTTGAACAACACTTATTTCTAAGGAATTTCAGGGAATGCGGAATGCAATACGTCCGCTGCGTATCATGCCGAAAAAACAGTCGACTAAATGTGAATATGCAGTTATACCTGGGCCTGAAGTCTCTTATCCTGTCTCTTGCTGGTCAGCTTTTCATGCCTATTATGAATTTGATGGAGTATAATATACCAGATTCACAATGTTATTATTAGCAAAGTTGTTCATATATATATATATATATATATATTTTTATAAATTGTAATTCGTAGTAAATATCGTCTAGTATCAGTTGTTTTTGGAGAAAAACTTATATAAATGGGACTTTTGTTAATTTATCCCTTAGGTTTAATATCATTCATCATTTTCATGGGATTGTTTGCATTCGCACAAATGTCGGAGTATCCCATTGTCAAAGGCTTAAAGCCAAGCACAATGATTCCAAATTTTTGGCTGGGTCTACTAACTTCAACGTGTTTGGCTACCTTCATAATATCGTTTGCAGCATTTTTCGCCTCACGAACAGTTACACGTTATACAAGACAGTCAGCAGCTAAAACAAGTATGTAGAGAAAATTTACTTTACACTTATTTTTCCATTCCTTTGCGTTTCGAGTGGGACGTTGGGCTTCAGGCTTAAGCTTACGAGTTTCACCAGCAGTAGTATCATTTTTACGAGATGGGATAGCTAGCCTCACACCCAACTCCCCCACTTTACCGAACTTACTGCCGATTGAATGAGGTTTATGAATGCGTCGGCCGGGAATAGAGTGTGAACCGCATACATGTTGCTTTAATTAACTGACATGAAATAGTTGAGATACACGCATATACTACCTCAATATAACTGAAGTGCTTTTTATTCAAGCTGTTATAAATTTTATAAATGAATGTGTGGTACTTCCATATTAATTTGTTTATCGGTTATACCACATAAAACATAATTTGCTGGATGACGCTTCTAATACATTTTATTCTTGATAATCATATCAATTGTAACTACAGAACTCCGAAACTTGATTTTATGGTCCCCTTTTCTTCCTCATTTGTCTTTAGAGTAGTAGATTTTTCCAAATACTTGGTGCAGGTGTTGAATCATTCCTATTGCATGTATTTTCAATTGATTCGACAGATAAAGCTTCTATCATCAATCTCTGGCTCCATCATGTTGTATTAGATTTTAAGACTAATCTTATCCCGTCCTATTGTATGGTTATGTGTGATTGCGTGTAGTGCTATAGCTGGGCTACTTTCCAATTGTCTTATCTTATTGGGGGCAACTAATCTAGGTTTTCTAGCCTTTTATGCTCCGCTAATCTGATTGGTCCCGTTCTACTACTTTGACCTTAATCACTAAAGGGTATTAAATTAAATTATTTCGTTTATTGGCTACATAGGATTCTTTAGCCGGCGTAATTTGAGTATAAGTAAGTTTGAATGCTACTTTTATCTCATTTTTGTTAACAATTTGCCCTAAGGTTTTCCTCAATATTTATGTTTTGAGTTCCCTACTGTTGGTGTTATCATCTTCCTCTTTATTTTTTCATTCATATCGTCTTTGTATGCTTAGAAGACTACATTTTCAAATTTATCTCCGATAGTTTTTTGAGGCATTAAAATTTTACTGACTAATATTTTACAATACATATTTTGTATTCCTTATTTAGGCAGTGTGTTTCTCGACTTTTGGTATGGTCGGTACCCGCGACCTTTGTGGTTTGGCATAGACTGGAAAATGGTTGTAATACGTTCCGGACTAACAGCCTTACCGTTAATCGATATGGCATACATTTTCAAACAATATGAACAGTATGAACGAGTTAGTCCAGCTCTTGCTGCTCATGCACTGATGCATGCCTTGTGGGTATTAGACTTCTTCATCTTCGAAGTACGTTTACATCCTATTTATGTTAACGGTTTTGAAAGCTATATTTTCTGATTTATGTATTCTTTCGTAAATATTAAGTATTGCAGATGAATTTGAATCTTACTTTTGATAAAAATGGGAGTCAATTCATTGTGTTTTTCTTATTTTTCATTGATGTGTATATTTTAGCATGCCTTTATTTACACATATGAAGTTCAGTCGATAACATTTGGTTCAAGTTTCGTTCTAGGCCAGCTTGTTGCCTTACCCTTTACCTATTCTATAACAAGTTCATATTTATCGTCAAAACCTGATGTTGGTCGATCGCCGACAAGTTTATCAAAACACAGCTGTGAACCATATACAATGGGAATATCTGTTATTGTATTTCTATTAGGACTATGGATACATCGAACATCTAGCAACCAGAAAAACATGTTCCGACGTGATCCTCATCATCCATCATTCAGTAGTAAGTTAAATATATCTTAGATACATGTTGTTCATGTTTAGTTTTGTGCTTATAATGCAAGTGTTTTTAAACACAGAAATACACGGTAATGCCTGCAGTATGTATTTCACTTAGGCCTTACAACTGTAATCTGTTACAATTTCCCACTAATTGGTTTTGTCTGGATCAAAATATTCAATCTCTGTTTGACATATCTGCTCATGGTAACGGACACGTCAACAATACCTTGAGTTCGGGTAGGTATTATTTAGTTAGTAGTAGTGGGACCAGTATTAAGACTTTCGTGAAACGCAGAAATATATTCGTTGGATGTATCAGTAGAAGCTTTATTTCACCTGTATAATTACCACATTCAGCATAAGAACAAGATCCGAGTTTTATTTAGAAAAAAATCAATGTCCCTCTTCTTGTATTTCTTTCTAACTTATTTGCCACACATATATAAAATAAATGTGATTCGTTTTTAAAATTAATTTTGTAGATGCTGAAATCATAGCTGGTCCTGGTACTCAACGACTTTTAGCTGGAGGTTTCTGGGGACGTGTCCGCCATCCTAATTATGTAGGATACATGATAATGGCCCTGGCAATGGCGATTCCATGTGGTAAGTGAAGTCAGTTTTTTGTCTACTAACGGTTGCTACTTGTCTACCACTTCTATTATTATTTTGATGGTGCTGTTAGAGCTGAGGACAATACTAACCTTTCTTGACAGCTTGAAAATCCCTTTTGGACAGCAGTTCAAGCCTGTATATTTTTAAAAAGAAGACTAGTTACATCGTCGAATAATACTCTTTTCTTTTCCCCACTGTAGGTTTCGACTCAGTGATCCCGTGGATTATTCCAATTTTCATCATTCTCTTCCTTATACATCGTGCATTTGTTGTTGAAGAGGCTTGCTTAAAGAAACATGGTCCTGCATGGCAAAAATACATGGCACTTGTACCTTATCGTTTTATTCCTAAAGTTTTTTAATATTATTGTATATTCAAGCCTTTATCTCTAATATACTTATCTTGCATTTCTATGTCAATGTATTTATTAATCATAATATTAATAATACTTTCTTGCTCAACAGTTTATCCCTACTACCAAACCAACATCACCACCAACCCTTTTATTTGTTTACAGGCAGATCCCTTGTCTCTCTATTCTATGTATATTGTTAACTCAGGACTTTTCAAATTGGCAGCATTTCGTTAATATAGGTAGATGTTCTAATTAATATTTTTCTTAGGTGTACAGTTGGTTTGTATTTTTCAAAAAAATTCTATTCCATTGATAATATATTTCATAAGTCTATTGTGTTTCTTCCCGTTTTGTAATAAATCAGTGTTTACCAATTTTCAAAATTTGTTCTTTTTATTGAGAAAAACACACTGGGGGTTGAAGTGGGGTGGGGAGCCATATGAAGTAAAAAGCGAATACAGTTTTAAAAGGTTTATACAAACGGGCTCTAGGCACAAATTTCAAATATATATGTATATATCGCAGTAGAAATAACCCGATGATATAAACGCGTAGATGGATCCCTGAGATAGAGATTGTATATGTATAGAAGACACAATATCTGCCGTGAAGTGTGCACTTATCTTTCAATAGGTCTGTAAAATAGAGTAGATACAAACTTCTGTCGGAAGCGAGTTATGACGCTGAGGACAATGACGCCATCCTGGAAAAAGAGAAAGGCAAAAGACAATCAATTCCTTATGGTGAAACATGAGAATGTTAAAGTCGTAATGTGTGTAAATTAGTACTGCTCACTATTTCAGTAGCCAAAGAAGGGATAAGAATATTTTTGCGCAACACGGAATTGTTGTAGTGGGAGAACTGTATAACCTTGGTGACTGTTACTGTTGATACAGGGAAAAGTAGAGAATTCTAGCAATCTGTACTGGGTACATCATTGTAGTAAGAGCAGAACTTGGGCACTGTGTTAGGAACTATATATGTTTCTAGTTTTCTTTAAAATCAGCTCGCGTATACCATTACTCGACAGTCATTGTAGTGTTCGCGTGCTGCCAACCGTTTTTGTAGCTCGTGTGGAAAACCACAACCACTAATTCAGACTAAGTTTCGAAAGTACACTATAAAAATACCTCAGGTATAGCGAAGGCATACAACCATTCATCACTACTGCTCCGAACCAAATGTAAGGTTAGCGTTGCCTAAATCCTTCATTTTTCTCCAATACTGCCGCTGATAACATTCTGGAGACAGTCCTGAGGGCTGTGCGCAGTGGTGTAGATCTATTTGGGAAAAGATCATTCAACCTTTAAGGGTGCAGATAATATTGACCTACTGTATGATGACTAACAGGCTAAATATGTAGCGCAGCTGAGTGTCAATCGTTGTATGGCGTGACCGCACTGCCGAAATCACCTCAATAGTTTGAGAGCTGGCGAATGTGACGGATCAGGTTTATAACTCCGGAGCGATACGCCATTCTACTACTGCTACGATGTTACCCACTCGACACTTCGGCGCATCTGGTCTCTTACTTTTCTGAGTCTAAGATATACGACAGGTCTGTGCTTCCAGCCATCGCTATCTTAATATGCCTGTATGTATTCCGATAACAACATAAGAGTATTTACTACTTTCCACGGTTTTCGTGTTTGGATAGGGTGGCTATCGACAGGTGATGTCGTCTCGAAAGATCCGCTTTGGTACAGATCAGCGTCTTGCCGACCCTTGAACTGGCTTAAAAGTGTCGCAGTGAGATGAAGGATAATGCATCATCACTTCCTGCGACCCAGTGGCTGAATGCCTTGTTAGTTCTGACCCAGGATGTAAGGCAAAGACGTCCACACTGCGGTTTCCATGTAACTCCTACTGTCGAAAATAGTACCAATTAACGAACATCCCTCCGGATTGTACGTACCTGTTGGATATACTTAACTATTTCATAATGCATTTCTTTGACCATTTTCCCCTTTATTTCGTGGTACGAAATAATGAAGGTTAAGTGTGAGAATATTTTCCATGTGTTATAAGTTAGTAGAGAATGACAACTTAACACTCGTGTGGTAATAAAAGTATTCATTAGAAAATACGTCAACTTACTTTTATTGAAAGAGCGTATAAATGATTGACAATTACATGATTTGGTTGAGGAAGCAAATTAGGATCACAATGAAGATTCGTGTCCATATTCAAAATCCCCTGCGAAAAAATGAAGTTTTATAAACAAACATAGTCAAATAAAATGCTCAGTTTAAGGATACAAAGTTCATTAGTATATCTTATATTTTAATTACTCGATTTTTTTTATAGACAAACCCCTTTAGCATTTGCAAAACAGTTTTGATTTTTCGCTGTACAGTGACAGTTCAACTAAATCTACTTAGATGCAAAGATATATGACAGTCTCACTCTTTATTCAATCCCATTTTTTAAACCGTAGTACACTGCTTCTTTCAAAGTAAAAAAATAATGGTCTACGAGCTCGACTTTGAACCGGAAGGTCCGAACCCCGGCAGGTGCGTACTGCAAAGAGTCCTACACTAGGTCGAAACAGCTGTCCAGTACTCCTAGGTTTTCTACTGTTTCTCTAACCGATATCAGCTCATGATGAAATCCTGTAACCAATCAATCAAATCCCTACAAACCAATACTTGAATAAGTCAAAAATCTTCTTACAAGGTACATGATTTGGTCCTGAACTATATATAGGTGTTGTGAAGATGTGCGCTGAAATATTTCACAAAGTAATGGAAATCGGATAAAAATAAATTTGCATCAACCTGAGCGGTCAGTGTTTGCTTAATTCTCGAGATCTAAATCATATAGCATTCCAAATGTCTTTCATTCGTAGTGTCAAGGTTCCGTCGGATAAAAAGAACTAAATAAACCAGATAATTCTGGTTGGCAAATATGATTATTTCACGGAGATAAAAATGGTGGACTATGCAGTTTCCATGACAGTTTACCAACATATTATGACCAGTACTAGATAACTACTCGATATTTTCTTTACAACTAGGTTACAAAATGTCCCTTAAGTGTATATGTAATAACTGCGCATGAATAATCCGACTTCTCGTGCATTTGAAATAAATAAATATGGATTTCGAAATTTTAGACCAGCTGCTTCTTTGATGAGCCTTACTTAGGGTTAATAAACCTTTTCATTCTCCACTGAATACATTACTTTTCAATATGTGGCTTTGTAACGACAGAAGACAAGGGCCAGGCAACAGATCGTTTATTGAGAAAATCAACAGATTTTTATGTACATTATTGTTAGCAGAGAAGTAACGTCTTCTGATCGGCTGTTTTCCTGCTGTAGGCTATTCTGTCATCTCTTTTTTGCCGTTTCTTAGACAGTCCGGTGATATATCTGTGAATCGTATCCGCCCACGCTAAGTCTGCTGTGAATGGTTGTTGAGTTCCTCAAGGTTAGGCTTTGTTCTTGTTTTTTCCTCATGACCCCGATTTGGGGCGTAAACACAGTTTCTTTACATTTTGCATGGAGGATTTCATCATGAGCTGATATCGGTTAGAGAAACACTGGAAAACCTGGGAGTACTGGACAGCCGCTTCGTCCCAGTTCGGGACTGTTCATCAGTACGCACCCACCGTGGTTCAAAACCAAGACATTTTGGTTACAAGGCGACGTCGTAAACAACTGAGTCACTGGGACCCGATTCAATGGCCCATAAATTCTAACTTCTGCCAATTCACGACATAGCGCGACCATTTCGCAATGTCTTCTTCGATGACTTACTGCATTATCTTTACATTGTCACAGTTTTTGTTTACACTACTTTTGTTCATTGCTGTAGTGGGAACCAGATGAAATAAAATATTTGTGTATGGATTAGTTCCAACGGTACCACTACAACTCCCGATAGTTTTCAATATCATCTAATATAGTTTCAACAACACGGTTCATATCATCATGATATTCTGCCTCATCTGCCTCAAAATATAGGCGTGTTTATCTCCTCTGGTAACACAAATAATATACGTGCTCGGACTGTTTTGATTAGATGGTTGTAAGCAATCGGCAGGAAGACCTCCACCCAGGTTTCGTGATTGCTGGTACTCATCATCAGGGCGTACCTGCAATCATGGAAGAACTCACGTCCCTTCACAGATTCGAAACGTGTCACCCAGTGCTGTAATTACATGTTACCAGTGAGCAGATAGACCTTGCTGACGAGTGCCAACAGACATGAAACGTAGGTCCAAGGCTTCCTGCGAATTGCCTTCAGTCATCTAATAAAAAAGTCCGAGTACTCCGTGATAGTCAGCCACCTAGCTTGGTGGCCACATTGCAAACTTGATTGGTAGAATTCAGTCTGCACTAAATAAAGTAATAGATGCATGACACTAGTTGGTGTCCAATCAAAGTATATACGATCGAATAATTCATGATCATGACTATGACTGAAAGGTTTTAATTTTTGTAAAAATGGTAATCTACTCTTCTGATAACAGCTACACTTAATCTGCCGAACATCCAACACCTCCCTGAATGGGATATAGACACAGGTCCTCCGTCCTTAACTGAGGTTACTAAAGCTGTCACTAATCTGAAGCAAAGCAAAGCAGCGGGACCTGATGGAATGACTCCAGAGGTATTTAAGTACGGTGGAGACAGTTTACTGTCTGCATTAACTGAGGTTCTAGGCAGCGTCTGGGAATCAGAGAAAGTCACTGATCATCCCGATATACAAGAAGGGAGACAAGTCCTCTTGTGATAATCACAGAGGGATTAGCTTGACTAATATAGTATCTAAAATCCTAGGCTCAATAATACTGCGTAGACTAAATGGTGCTCGGGAGGCACAAACACGAGAAAACCAGGCAGGTTTTAGACCAGGAAGAGGGTGTATTGATCATATCTTCACCCTTCGACAGATTCTAGAAAATAGGCATTCCTACCGGCGTCCGACAATCATTATATTTCTTGACCTAAAGGCGGCATTCGATTCTGTCGACCGAGAGGTTCTCTGGCGATGCTTGGCTGCAAAGGGAATGCCGAGAAAATACATTGCACTGATTAAGGCACTCTACTCGTACTCATGCAGCCAGGTGAGGGCTTATGGCGAGTTGTCATCTGAAGTGGTGACGACTAGTGGCGTCCGTCAAGGATGCCCATTATCCCCATTCCTATTCAACTTCATCATAGATGTACTAATGGACTTAACCCTAACACACTTCAGCGACTCAGGGATTGACTTGCTACCAGGGAATAATCTCGTCGACTTAGAATATGCGGACGATATAGTCCTTCTAGGCGAGGACGCTGACAAAATGCAGAGTCTACTGAACACCTTGAGCAACAATCTTCGTATGTTTGGCATGCGATTCGCCCCTGTAAAATGTAAGATGATGTTGCAGGATTGGACTACACCGACTCCTAGATTAGAAATAGGAAGTGAAGTGGTAGAGCACGTTGACCGCTTCACTTACTTGGGAAGTACCATCAGCTCCAACGGGTTGATCTCTGACGAAGTCTCAGCACGAATACAGACGGCTGGTTTCGCATATGCCAGTTTACGCCGTCTCCGGCGTAGACGCGATATCCGACTATCGACCAAAGAGCGTGTGTACTGCTCAACCGTCCGCTCCGTCCTCCTTTATGGCTGTGAGACCTGGCCATTGAGAGCAGAAGACATGAAAAAATTAGCTGTCTTCGATCATAGGTGTCTGCGTTCTATCTCCCGCGTGAAGTGGTATAATAAGGTGAGCAATATTGAGGTTAGGCGTCGAGTGCTAGGTAAGGCGGGGAAATCAATCGACGAGACTGTGAAATTACTTCGACTGAGATGGTTAGGACATGTGCTACGTATGCCTAGTCATCGCCTTCCTCGACGGGCAATGTTAGCTGATATAGGGCCAGGCTGGAAAAGAGCTAGCGGCGGTCAAACCAAAACATGGCACCAGTCAATGAAATCCACAACAGTTAGTTTAAGCCGGCCACGTAGGAAGGTGTAGACTTCCTGGTTGGGGTCCTTGGGACGGTAAAAACCAATGGCTGGAAACAATTGGTGACATGGCTCAAAATCGTTCTCAGTGGCGCAGATGCATCCACTCCTTGTGACTTATGATTTCCAATGAAACTGTTTTGTTCTTCGTTATTACTATTCCTTTGTCTCACACCTCTGTTTGCTGTCTATATTATGCATTTCTCCTACTTTCTTCTCTTGCTTTGTGTGCTACATGGAGTGTGGCGACTTGAACTGCCGCACATATGTGCAAAGTTCTATGTCGAAAACCGACCGATAACAGGAATAAAAGTATTTTCCAATATAAATCAATTTCTACAAGAAAATATAGCCTGTGTTTCACTAACTCTGACTACTCCAATTAGTTGAATTCAAATAACATGTACTGGATGCATAAGAGATGGCCACGAGGTAATATATACTCACTGGTGGGGACATGACCTTTCAGAGACATTCAACAGACTGACATCCAGTCCACACACCTACTATTCTTGCATATAAATTTGACAGTTCCATCATAGAAGTCAAAATGAAACTAATTATTTTCTGGTTAACATCGTCCATCTGGTAACGAACTAGCCAAGAAATTATGTGTACCTCTACAAATATGCAGAATAAAATGGAGATAGGTCGGACACAGGCTGAAGAAACTGTTCAGTCACATCGCGTGCCAGTTCTTCGAGTGGAATCCGAATGGGAAGCAATGAGTTGACATAGGTGCGACGATGACATGCAGGAGTTCGTGTGATGAAGAGATGAGAGCTTTAGAGCAATTGTGGACTGCAGAAAACAGGATGAAATGCAGATGTATTGCTGAAGCCCTAGGTCCCACTCGGTACTTGGGGCAATAACAGAAATAAGGTCGTCCATCAGGTTTGTTTTTGGGGTGTAAATTCATTAGGATGGTATCTACTAGCTTTCCAATCAGTGATCCGAGGATCACTAACCAGGTCATTGTTTCACTGGAACAATCACGGCTTATATTTAGCTATCCTGAGAATGAGTGACCTTTTGAATACTGCCACAACCCATACTTTCATTTTTCCCTTTATTATGACTCACTACACCTCAGAGACTCTGGCACCGGTAATTAACCTGTCTCTGTTCCGATTCAATAGGGTTAAAATAAGTAGGTATATCAAACTGGTTCAGCCCGGATTCGAACCAGGGATCTTTTGCGTGTGAGAGGTGAATGTGATAGCCACTACATCAATGAACTGCCGTAGTTGAGGCCCGGCAGAAGATCTCGTTAGGCAGCTAGTAGATATTTATTTGACATCTGGACATAGAACGTGATAATTTTATTCAAAAGATGATTTGTTGAGCAGCTGGTGAATTTTTAACTTGGTAATCTGAAGACTATCGGCTAGAATCCTGCTGCGACTATTTTTTTTCCTTCACGTTCCCCAGTGGAACATAGGGCTTCAAGCTATTGGTTTGAAGTTTCTGTAGCAGTGTTTATTTTACAGGATGGGGTTGCTAGCCTCATGCCTAACCTTTCCTCTTCACCAGCATTATTTCTGGCTTAGCGAGGTAAAGGAGTGCGTCCGTCGGGGATCGAACCCCGGACCATGTGCATGGTCGGCGAGCGTCCTAACCACTATGCCACCGACTATTAAGTCATGCCAATTGTAATGGTAATCATTTAGTGAATGTCGGTCACTTAACAATGTTTTTGCATATGCAAAAAACAAATAATAAAATAAGCTGAATAGACACAGATAGATAACATATCAGTATAAAACAGAAAATTATTAAGATGCTTTTGATGTGGTTGTGTTCTCTGAGCTGGATAGTTAATTTGCGAAGTTTTCATTGCCCTACTAGGCAACATCTTCAGCGCATACTTTAATTTGAAGTCAGGTTTTAGATTTCTCCACGAGTTTATTAGTCATCTCTCCTACTGACCTTGAACTTGATTGGTTGTTTTTTTGTGTTTCCACACCCTCATCCACCTGAGCTACAAATCTTCTCCATCATACTAAGATGTTGCATGGCTATGCCTAATAACAACACGCAACGTGTAAAAGGTAATATATAAAGGCAGACAATGGGAACAATTAAAGAACTGAAGAAATGCCTTATCACAGTTAGCATGATAATCAGTGATGAATACACGTTTGTAACCTATAGCTTTCTTTCTCTCCCATAGAGAAATTTGGTATAAAAGACAATGATATAGTAACATTTACTGTTGAGCCGTAAACTGAACAAGGATTATTACTACTCATCTCTTGTGTTCCGAGTAGAATATAAGGCATCAGTGGAATATGTTTACTGTATTCTGTTCTATTTTCTAGCAAGCTCCACCACTGTCCACACTTCCACCCCTCATATGACCTTCTCCATTTCACCCTAGCACACCCAACTCATCGCTTCCCATTCAGGTTCCAATCGACGGCCTGCCTAGCGTGTGACTTCACTTGAATATCTCCCCTTCAGTGGATGTCAAATGAATCTTCATTTCTTTTCTGCATATTTGTTGGGTAATAAGTTCTTGAATGGTTCACTTCCAGAGTTCCTTGTTGCTTATCCTTTCTGACTAACCATCTGATATTCAGTATGACGTGAAGGCATTTGTCGATAAAAGTCTCCAGTAAGCTGTTGAAAGTGTCTTTTGGCATACGTGCGCAAAGCCTCTGAAATATATAGAAGCACTGACTTGACATTAGTATAGAGGATTCAGATATTGTTCACATTGTGCTATTTCAAAGTTATAAACGCCCATCTTGCTTTCCACATTCGATCCTGGGGTTGACTTTGAAATCCTCATTAGTGCCACCTGTAGTTGAAATTATGCTGCTGAGATAAATGAAAGAGACAACTTCTTCTATATTTCGCCTGCTTGTTGTTGTTGTTGTCATCGTCGGTTTTCAGGTATCTTCATCACTTCTGTCTTTTCACCTGAAGCCCAGCCTTCGCTGCCTCTTCTATCAACTTATTGATTTTGGCTCGTAAATTTTCAAGTTTGTATGACACAGACAACAAAAATCATCCGCGAAGTTCAGCTCATCTAGGGTGTTTTTCATCACTCTACAGTATGACCTTCTTCTCACTCCCCACGATCAACCGCATAATCCAATTCATCGAAATCACGGAGATCAGCGGTGAAAATTGGCAGATTTGCCTTAAACAAACAACAATGTTAATTACGTGGCAGATAGTAAGTTTCATGACTTGAATGAGGCATTGACAGCATAGATAACGTTAGGTAGGAAGTATTTAAACTTCGGGTACTTATAGTCTTACAAGTTAAACCAGAAATTTGTTTGAAGAGAGAGACATCTTCTAGTACTCTTAGTCTTTCTTCTGACCACAATTTACATACTTCACTAATGTACACACTCTGATGACGTACCAGATGTGGAAACAGAGATGAATTCCATTTCGATTCATTTATAAGTGATCAGATTCTCCTGTTACAAATAATGTTAATTATCTTCTCTCCTGTATGTTTTAGCATACATAACATAGAATGAAAAGACTATAACGGCTTCTAAATGACACGAAATCCGAAGAACTTCAGTCTCTCTGGACTGATCTCAAGAGATTCTTGTAGTCAATCCAAAGAAAGGGTTTGATCTAGGTTTCGCCTTTATTGGCATGCCTGTAATCTTGAAGCCGCCTCATTCAGTAATGCAGTCAGAGATATTACCACTGAACTATTTGGCTCATTATTGATGAGTGCCAATAAAGCACTACACCTAGATCTGTGTCGATTGCATCCAACCACTTAACAAAAAGATCAAAAGACCACGCGGTGGAGAGTCCCATAAACAGGTGACCACATTGCAAACTTGATGACTGAATTCTGTCAACACCAATATTAAGGTTTAGAAACATGATGCCGATGACTGACGGTATCAGACATAAAAGTTATAAATGGACTAGTATTTGGACACAACTATTCTGATATATTTAAATAGCCTTACAAAATATCCTATCATGACAGTGGAAACTGATTATCCTCCCCCCCCCCTTAGTGACTAATCAATAATACATACTGTTTACTCCATTATGTTAAATAAATAAGTCATCTTAATTTTTTACTTATTGAAACACAAATTCGGTAAATGATGGGCACCAAGAGATGAGCCACAAAAAATCTCATAGTTTGTGCAAGGACTGGGATACTGCTCAGATGCACAGGTCGAAACATATGGTTGTCTTAAGAGACCAAACCTTAGAGCCTCTGACATGAAGTCTCACCCACAAGGTAGTGGAGCAGCGTCAGGAGCTACATTCCCATAGTTGCCAGAGTCCAAAACAAGTTCATACACCATTCGATCCTTTCAGATTCTATAACTCATGTACACAACAGGTTTGGAACCGGGGTTTTCCAGCTTTCCTAGATTGACCTGTATGTCCACCAGTTCGGTTTTTAGAGCTAGATGTTTGCATTGACCCTTTCACTTATGTGAGGAGCAATCCCGCCACGTGAAAGCTGTGAATCTAACTTACTCAGCAGAGGCTTTGGGCGTGTGGACACATAAGAGGATTTCGAGAGGAAGACCGAACTCTCGGTGGTAACAGGTCTTTTATGACACTCTACATTTAATTGTGGGTACGAAAACAGATATACATTGGGATAAAACGGTGTATTCTAAATATATATATGAAAAACCTACAAATCCAGGTGTTACCCAATATAGGATAAATAACTTTATACAGGTTGGTTATTGAGTAAAAACAATCAAATGCCTAGAATTACTAACTTCTTTTTTCGAAACAAACATACCTTACTCTGAGTAGAGTGGTGCAGTCAGATGGATTTCGTCTACTTTATGATGAACCCAGCAGTCACAATAATTATTTTCTTCTACTCTGTCAATTTATCAACAACATCAAACAGTAGACTTCATTTCTCTTTATATTATTATAATTCCTTTAAGCTCTGAATAGCATAGGTGGTTCAGCGGTAGAACGCTCGCCAACCATGTACGTGGTCCCGAGTTTGATCCTCAGCCAACACACTCTTAAACCCTGCTAAGCCGGTAAACAGAGAAGCTTATACTTCAGGCTATCACCCTTATCCTATAAAAATAAAACCACTGCTACTGAAACTTCTACGCCCCAGCTTCAAGCCGCATAGTCCAATCGGAACGTGAAGGAATAATAATAAAGGGTTCCGAGTGGAGAGTGCGGCCTCAACGACACATTCCCATTTCATTTTGTCCCCTGTAGTCCTTTTTAACTGGCTTAGCGATAGCCCACATAAGCCTTTATTTCTTTCACACATACATGTGATCTCTCCCCTCTCATGTTACTCTCGGTTGCTCAACACATTGCTTCCCATTCTGGGAATACCTTCATCATTTAGTCTTAGTTTTCTTCCACATAAAAATGAAACAATTTATGCAATGATTTCAATTCAGTGAGGAGAAAATAATTCTTATTGAAACAAACATAGGAAACAATTGGATGATATTTTATTGTGAATAAATTACCTGTAATAAATGTGGTGGTAGTAAGGGTGGTTGAGGAAGTGTACCAACACCTGGAGTAATTGAATGATGCCGAGTTTCTCTTGTCCTTGTCCGGTGTTGTAATTCACCAAGACTAGCAGGCATGAAACGACCATATTCTCCTGGTGGTGAATGACCTAAGCTATCCACCTGATTATATTTGGAGATAAATAAATAAATACGAAATATATTTTAAATCCAACAGTACATGGGTGATATTCAAGTAGTGGTTTACAGGAATTTGATAGGTTTCAAGATTTCATTATGGGCTGACAACGGTTAGAAAACCATCAGAAAACTTGCCTTGAGTACTGGACAGCTGTTTCGTCTTATTCTGGGACTCTTCACCAGCACGTACCAACCGGGGTTCGAACCCTGGACATTCCAGTTAAAAAGCGAGCTCGTAGACTATTAAGCCACTGGGATATGACCCAATGAACTATGAATTCCATCTTCTGACAATTTACGATATATTGCGACCACTAGCCAACATCATCAGCGAGTACATGGGTGAGTTCAAAGGTCGAAAAGTCATACAACTAGAAAAAATGTCAACAACATGAACCCAGAATACTAAACTACTTCACTTAGAGTTAATTTTTTCTTTACCAAGAGAAACTGTGAAAAAGTAATCACTGAGATAAAGGAATGAGGTTGTCAGTGAGCAGTCAATACTGTTGCTTTTCGGTTATCTCAGGTGCCATTCAGCCTACCCAACGACCATAAAGGGCTGACTGTTTTTAGGTTATTCAGATATGCTAGAATAATTGTGTCCAAATACTAGTTCACTCATAATCCTATGTATTTCGAATGATTTAGCGACACATCTTATAGCATCCATCAGCCTTCACAAACTATCGTACCATCTTAAAGAAACCATGGTTTTTCATTTCTTTGCATTCTGAGCGGAACATACAGCTTCAAGCTTTGAAGTTTCAGTGGTGGTGTTGTTTTTCTAAAGGATGAGGTTATTAGCCTCACCCTCAGCTCAGCTCAGCCTTCCCTCTTTACCGGACTTATTATCATCTAAGCAGGGTTTATGAGTAAGTCAATCGGGAATGCAACCTTGGACGATATGTGTGGCTGGAGGGCATTCTAGGCGTGAACCACCTTCACGCGTGAACAGCCTAATAATAACAACATAAGGCAGAATAAATGTAAATACACAAACATACTTCAAGTATAATTTCAACTCAAAGAGCTTTTTAATGATTCTTAACATTGTATAATGGAACAAGATAGAAGATAGCTAACCTAACAACCAGAGCTTATTTATACACATACATAAGGAGTTGAGTAAAACTCATTATGAATCTTCAAATTTACTTAATCGTTTGTTTGCATAATGATTTTATTTTCATTTACCATATCTTTTCAAGATCACCCTTGCCTCTCAAAAACTCATCATATTATGTATAAATAAATCCTTGCATTCATATTTATTGGATCATTGCTAGGCTAAAAATCAGTAAACGCCCTTTAGTTAATGTTATTCCTAGGCTGAAAGGAAAACTATGAAATAAACAAAAATGAGCTCCTATTATCCTGTAATTATATACTTTCAGATTATGGGATTTGTGAGGTTTTGGATTAATTTAATTCCAGTTGTTAGATTCCGTCACGAACCAACATCAGTTAGGCGAATCACTGAAAATTAGGGAGAACTGGACAGCTGTTTCGTTCTACTTTGTGACCCCCACCCGCAATGTGACCCTACCATCCGACTAGGGGACGAACCCGAGAACTTTAGGTTATGAGGCTTAATTCGTTGACACTTCTGCCACTTGAGCTAGAATTCAGTGACCCGTGGTTTTTAATTTTTTCAACTTGTGACATAGTGCTATCGCCAACCAACGCCTACTTTGAGTATCCAGTTCACCTTTACATGGTGAGCCTTACTGGTCATTACTTTTCACTAAAGCTTCAGGACATACATCCAGTAGCCATTGATGAGCTGGAGACTGATACTTAGATCTGCAGATCACGAGTTGACCAAGTTAGAACTCATGGGTTAGTGAATCCCGAGCCAAGTGGATGAATGGTCAACGCGCTTGGCATTGTAACCTGAAGGTCCCAGGCTAGATGTACTGAAGAGTAACAAAATAGAACGAAACAGCTGTCCAGTTCTCCCTAGTGTCTTCAATAACCTCTCTGACTGATTGTTGGTTGGTGATGAATCCTAACAATTGAAATTAAATATATTTTCGTTCTTGTTTTGTTCAAACTAATCACAGGGAATAGAGTGTATGAAACATATGCTCCATTTAACTCAGTTGGTGAATATTTGCAATCGGTTTGACTGACTCACTCACTCTATTCCTAACGTTTCACAATATTCAATTCTATGTTTCCACTGCATGCGTACGTCACCAGAAAATCTGTAACTATCCTTTATAGTATACATCTCACATTTGCAGACTGAATACAAGGTGTATATTCAACCTTTGGTAGGTTAACATGAATCCTCCTTTAAAAGTTGCGTTCTCTGAGCTGATGGATGGCCTAAATGTGAGGAATACTAAAGAAGTTGTCTAGAAGGATAATGAAAGCTTAGTGATTGAACTGTCTAGCTGAGAAAAGATGGTAATACCAAAAACATCTACATGATATTTAGATTGGACACTAAAGTTAGTAACTAATGTCATGCATCTAGTCCTTCACGTTTGGTGCAGACTGAATTCTGTCAGTCAAGTTTGCAATGTGGCCACCATGATAGCTGGTTCACCATCACTCTGAACTGTTGCTAGGTGGTTGGAGGCAATCGGCAGGATGCCTTCCACCTAGGTTTCGCGCTTATTGGGACTCGTTAATCAGCAGGCGGTATCTGCAGTCTTGAAAGAACTTATATCCCTTCTGGGATTCAAACCCGGATAACCCAGCGCTGAACAGTTACGCCTTTCTGACTAATGACAACAAGCACAAAACCTAGGTACAAGGCTTCTTGCCGACTGTCTAACAACATCCCTATAAACTACAAGTTTTTTTTCACTATTCCAATATACAGATGGATAACTTCAAATCAACGGAAAGTCTACATTTGATAGTTTTGTCTAGGCAACAATAAAATCCCAGATGCTAAATATGATTTTTTGAATCGTAGGAGCGTATATACACACTATGCGATTTCCCAATTGATGTGCAGACCAGACAATATATTGGTATCTTTTGTAAGAAAAGCAGAAGCTCAGGCTACATAGGAGTGATAACTGGATAGCAGTTTCAATTATCGTAATTATTACAACTAACTACTGTTTGAACATGCTTCTTTTAATCCAGATTCATAAAAAAGAGAAGGATAGAGAACAGGAAAAAATAATCCCTGAGCTCTACCTAGTTGAATCGCCCACTAATCAGCAGTTTCGACTGAGTAAACTGTTTGCTGTGAATAGAGCACAGCTGAAGATCAGAGATTAACACAAAAACATTGAAACAATGGCTGATAATGTGTATACGGCAATTAAAACAAGGCCACCGATATTATTTTCATATATATATATATATATATATATATATATATATATATATATATATATATATATATATATATATATGGGTTAGAAAGATAACCCAGATAAGACTCTAACCTTAAATAGACCTTGAATAAAGGAAAATATATAATTAGTTGTCATTGTTAAAGCTTATATGAATGAAGCTTAGGGCATTTCAGTGAAGAAATACAGAAAAATGTTCTGTCAACCATAAAACTGTTACTGTGTTGCTTTAAATATTAGTCTAGTAACTAGTTATAAAATACTTGTCATCGTTATATTAATAGCAAGGGATGTGGAGGATACATTTTAACGTAGAATATGATTACAGGTTGTGTTTTTTTTAAACGCACAGATTACTTCCAAGTTATAGGATGGGACATTGTTAAACAAGGATTCTATCCCACATTTTTAACCACAGAGCAATAAAGTGGACACCAATTTCTATCCCTCAGTAGTTGTTCAATGTTCATGCAGAAACTAAGCATCTCTTCATGAATATATACCGTTTTAACAGTTCCTGTGGTTCAAGTTATATTTATTATGAACAAGTTTGTCTACAGATTGGAGAACATAGAAAAGCTTCGTTTAGAAAGGGTGAAATGAAATACATAAAAAGTTCATTCCTAACATATATGACAGATACAGGACATGGACGCTAATATAATCCTTGAAGTCATATATCAAATACTAAAGTCATTAATCACGTTAAGTTCATCTATATTTTGTATAGACAACTGAAGATGTGAACAATAAGATTAATGAAGTCAGAACACTCTATATTCACAGAAAGAACACATTAGGACGTTGTCCCTAACATGGTCATGCTTAGACATTAAATACTACACTCTTCTGAAGAGATTTCTCTACCTCTTTATTTCATCTCCTTTCATTTAAACATTTTTAGTTGTAACATTGTATCATGTATATCCCTCAACCTAGCCATGCCATAAACACACATACTAAACATGCTATTCTAATTTCCTATATGTGGTAGTATTTCTTTTCTCACTCACCATACGACTCCACTTCATTCAATTTATATATTGATTATTTCGCGATGTGAAATATTCCCTTTAGTCTTACTATCTGTGCTTTTTTATTGTATGCTATCTTTGTGTACTCGCCCACTCACAATACTTGATGAATGAAGATTTTAAAATCTTGAATTGACTTGTTCATTTTTCTCCCTTCCCACACTATATGGACATTAGATGATGACTAATCAACATCTTCATCCATTTCAAACTATTTGGTATTTGAAGTCAACCTCTCACCACTGCAACATCTTGTCACATAAATACTATTTGCTTATGAGTCAACCTATAACTTGAAAGTAATGTTGTTTTTTTTAAAAATTCCTAATCATATGTCATGTTAAAGTGAATCCGCCCCATAGTGGGCTAGTAATAGGTATGATAACAAGTATTTTACATTATGACTACGAATCTGATATGAATTTAAGGAAAAGAATATTCTCTGTTCAGACTGACTTTCCATTCTTATGATATGGGAATAGTTAATGCTCATTAGACTTCAAAGTTAAGCAGTTACGCCTATCTACATGTGTAGAAACAACAATAGAGATGCGTACCTAAATTTAGTCACGAACTGACTTCAGTTAGAGAACCATTGAAAACCAGGCAGCACAGGACAGTTATCTCG